CCATTTTAACATCTTCAATGTGCTCAGTGAACCCTGAGACTCTGTAAAGACCCTCTGACTTCAAACCTACAAAGAAAAAAACTATTAGGTTTATTTCAATCACTAACAAATATTCAGGTTTAAACATCTTTAAAAAAAAAATCAATAAAAATGTGGTGATTCTCTTATGGTAATAACTACATGCATAAAATACAGCACATTTCAAATTCTAAACTTCTGAAATTTTTATAGAAGAATTAGGTCATTTTAAAAGATAATAGTTACATTTTATGGTTTCATTAGGCAGACACATGATACATAACTGAAGATGAAAAATATTGCTATTTGCAGGTGTTGGCAGTGTAAGATATGATCATTTATTTTTCATTCCCTTTAGGAAACCTTCGTATTCTTGTCTGTAGCTACTGCTCTTAGTTCTTTCTCCCCCGTGTCCATGTTTTTAATGATAAATGGAGATGCCAGCAACTGGTTCTGCCTTCCTTTAGTCCCATTTGTGCTCTCAATTTTAAATGATATACAATCTATGTACTGCATGTACTGTTCTTCTGCACAACAATATATCCTGCCTGCTGTTCTTCTCATAACTGGAGATCTGTTTCTTAGTAATGCCCAGCATCTCCCTCTTTCCTAGGAAGGAAGGTGGCAGAAGAGATCACTTCACTAGGTAAAGTGATCTATGAGAATGTTACTTATTTTAACTCAATGATTCTTTTCTTGTGAGCATACCTTTATGATTACCTACCAGCACCCAATATCCTTTGTAGGGTATTGAAGTTATTCTAAGACCAAAATCAATATTCCAAAAAAGGTTTTTAAAAAGTTATTACAGCAATTACACTATTGAAAATTAAAGAAGGCAAAAAGATTGTGTTGTAACTGATGCATGTAAAAATAATAGATCAAGTGCATTATCAAGCATGTTCCCTCTCAAACCCAGTTTTATCTATTTGTTCTTGCAGTGATGATATAATCTTGGCTGAGATTTGCAGAGCAATTCTGGGGATTTAACTGCATGTCTTCTGTTTATTTTAATGGAAGATGTGTAGCTTTGAAATCCCTATGTTTGATATCAGTGTGTTGCCATGCAGATTACTGCGATGTCATCAGTTCACCATTACGGGATTACTATGCAAAAGAGATGACTAGCACGGGAATGTAGTTTATCATTATTTACATATTAGCTATCAAAGGCATACACATGGCCATTATCATATGATCATTTGGCTGTTGCTGTTATGATATTTAGTAAGTATGGCATGCATATCAGTTTAGTAAAACCCTATCACAAGCTAGTGGGTTTTTTTGTCTGCGACATCCTGTCTTGGATGTGGCATTTATCAGTCAAGCCCAGAAAGTACTGTGAATTTTACTATCCTGAGAAGCTTGCAACCTTTTTTTCACATTTTGTATGAGCAATTTCCATTAGCTGTGTTCTTTTACATATGATGTTCTGAAAAGGTTAAAATTAGATTATTCAGAACTTGTTTTGAATTAAAATCTGATTACTTTGAAAAGTAAATAAAACCCTCATAGCTGACAATAGTAAAAAAACAAATGAAAAGGACACATATAAATGACCTTAAGGTTTCTCTTTGAAGTCTGCCCTTTTAAGTATTACATGCAAAATATACACCTAACATTAAAAAAAAAGCTATTTAAATTATTTACATTATGAAATTACATGCTGCAAAATGGTGTAGTATTTGTACTCAGATTCTTCAATCTTCTTCTACTGCACTTGGGCATATTTATTTTTCTCTAATTTAACATGCAAAACAAAGTTGATTTAATTTTGGTAAGTTTCTGTTCTTTTTTCTTTGCAATTCAGGTAATGTTATTGATGTGGTCACCTTGTGTTCAAGTTGAATGGATTTTAAAATTTTACAAACCTCTTGCTTCAATTTCTCGAATGCATAAATCCACAACCATGGGTCTTTGTGTATTGTGGGCCTTCACTAGTGTGGTGAGGTCACAGCAGTAGACTCTCTTGATCCTCTTCAGGTCTGGTTGACAATCATTGGGTACATATTTGGAACACTGTTTATGTACGTTTAACCCGCAGTCTGTAAATAAAATTTGCCAGGATTAATATTAAGATTGACTGATTATGTCTAACTGCTGATTTCTTTAACTTATACCAAGCAAAGGGCAAAACTGCCTTCCCTCTCACAAAACAAAAGCAAACACCAAAAAACTCTTCACATTGCTCCTCGTGACTCCTCTGGTTGATTCAGTGAACAGCGTTGATGGGATTTGGTGACATCCAGCTATGGAGAGAGGATCACTTCAAAGCTGGGATTCTGTGGAAGTGAGAAGTTGGAGCACAGAGATTCAGAAACTACACTGACATACCACAGGTTTTGTTAACAAGATATGGAGCTTCCCATGGATTTTTAGAATTGCTGAGCAAATTTAGCTCCAACTGAAGTCATTTAGAGCTGTTGTGATACCACTTAAAATCAGATTACAACATTTATTCAGGTGTCTAAATTGGGGTTAAGTTACCAAATTTCAGATACCTAAGTCTGAGAAAGCTGGTATAGCAATACATAGTTTATGAGCAGAGATCCTGGCTTCCTCTGATAAAAAATAAACAAACCCAATTTTCACATTAAAAAAAGTAACCCAAAATCCGCATTTTTCCATGATTAAAATGAAACACCATTTATTTATTACTGGTGCTTCTGATAATAACCACTAATAACCACCACTAATAAACATTAGTGGTGTTTCATTTTAATCAAGGAAAAAAATATGGATTTGGGGTTACTTTTTTTAATCTGAAAATTGGGGATTTTTTTTTTTAATCAGAGAAATCCAGGATCCCTGTTTATGAGGATTAGCATGTCCTAAGGATCACGTGACCACCTACATTCATGTGGTTATTTCAGGTGGTTCATTCAAGGTACAGTATCTTATTATATTCTGCTAAATGGTTGCTGCCTTTCACCTCAGACATGTCAGCTTTTCACTGGTGACTGAAGTGCATATAAAATGCTGTGAAAGGCACAGAATAAATCAAAGCATGCACAGTACAAAATTATTCAGATATCTTATCTGAGAGTCAAATTATTTCCTAGAATACATTGGTGAATTTCTGTTAACTTAAATATCTATATTTGGTTTCCATAAATGGAATTTTTTCTGATTGTTTCCAAAGTCAGCCAAATAATTTTATAGGCATCAATAAGGCAAATGGCACCTCCATCTGTTGCATTTTTTTGCAGACATTTGCTTTTTATTTTGATTGATTTCCAGTTGCAATTTTCATTGATAGTATGCAAAAATAACCAAGGCACTGAGACTGAAACCTTTCAACTACCCTAATATTTCTGAAGTCATCACCAGTAATGTAAATATTGTTTTGCATGCTGATTTACTTGCTGAACTACTTGCAATACATCCAAATACTATTTTCCTTGAATTATTAATCACACAAAATTAAACTATTAGTCAATGTTAATCTTCTGTATTAATGGAAACAGGTATAGTTTATGTGGCTCCATCCTCTGAGGTTTCTGTATATTACATCACTGTTTAGTAAAATTTAAGAAAATCTGGCAGCTGCACTTAGGATATTCCCTTTATTACTTTCAGTATTCTCTCAAAACATTTTATGTGCAGTTAAAAAATTTTTTTGGTTACTTAGAGTTAAATGCTGGTAATTAAATACATATGAGCATTAGGTATCATATTAAATAATTAAGCTTTTCCATAAACAAGATTTTTTTTTAATAATGGAAATAAATCCAACTGTATGACACACATGGTCAATTTGAAGACATTTCTATTTAGGGCTTGATAATCTCAACCACAAATTACTATTAATTTTTGTATGCATTTAGAATAGTCTTTTCCTTGGTACTAACCAACATACAGGTAGACAAGAGAGAGTAGATAAATATAGTAAGCAGGCCATGTACTTACTGCTGTATTTACTTAAATATAGTCAGGGTCAATATATATGATGATCCACTGATAATTAGATTCTATTATAAATTTGTTATAATTTTCCAGGTATAGAATCTAATTATTGGAGGTATGCCTTGAATTTGGCTGCCTCTCACTGTTACAGCAGGAAAAATAAGTCTGGGGGGGATCAGATGGCCCTTTTACCCTATGCCCCTCCAACTTCTTCCCTCTGCAGGCCCTTCTCCCCCCTCACTGTCAGATCCTGCTCTCCCTAAGCACCTGGAAGTGAGGGCAATTTTAAAAACAATGACTTTTGAAATAAACATGCCTGTAGTAATTTGTATACAAGCAAATTCCTATGGGTACGTATAATCTTAGCTCATCAAAAATTGGTGTATTTTATCTTTTTTTGAAACTGCTGCACATTTTAGCACAGGTACTCCATAAACACACTTTTAAGCAGCACTTTTGTACTTACTTATATATAGTATAAACTATGATAACCCGAAGTCAAAAGGCTCATGATTTATCATGCAGCTCATTGTGCTGGGCCCCATTAGAGTCATGGCATTTCAAGCCATGGTGACTCCACATCTCAGCACTACCCAGCATGTGTGTGTATTCCAGATACCCCCCACAAAGGATCCATGTGCTAATTAGCCCCCACTCATGACTGGAACTAGGTGTTCTTCTCACTGGTCATGGGATCCTCCAAAAATGTATATACAGATGACATCCAGGGCAACCTGGTCTGGCTCCACAATATAGAGGATGTGGGACCATACTAATCATATATGACAGGCTGAGAAGGCAACAGAGGGATTCTGGGTGAAATGTTTGGAGCCCCATTTGGTGATGTTTACCAGACATTTACACCTGGTGAAGAAACAAGAATCATTGGAAATGAGAGAGAAAGGTGCTGTTCAGCTGTGGGAGTGAAGAGGAAGTAAAAATGTATTCAATACTGTGACTCACCATGACTTTAAAATGAGTCAGCTCTGAAGGGGATTGAGCACAGTACACCTTACATATATTCTATTCAAATAGGATGTATTGACTTGTCCTTGGGGTAGGTTCTTATCAGTATGTTTGCCCTATATGGGCCATGTGTTTCATAGTCATACTCAGAGTTGGCTGTATTTAAGTAACTTCATAGTTGATTTCCATTACTAAGCATTTGCTGCTTTTGGAAGTAGTTTAATGATTAGCAGTATATTTAATGAGATTCCCTTGTAAGCAAATGTAAGATAAGGAGCTTTTTTCCCCTTATGCTGATGGGGGAGAGGCTTATCTTGTATTTGAGTAAATATGGTAATACCTTACACTTATGAAATATTCTTTATTCTGAAGAACCCTCAAATTGCTTTCTCAATTTTATATGGAGTGACTTCAGCCCTCAAAGTCAGTAATCATGAGAGCTAAATTTGGCATCTATTTGTCAAGGCTCAGAAATACCATGATGCAGAGCAGGAAGAGGCAGACAGTATTATATGCATTTGAGAAAGAATGGAAATTTGGGTCAGTCGAATGCAGTTACTAGATCTGTATGCAAAACATCAAAACATTTTCCAATGCTGCATCAAAAAACCTTATGGAGTAATTATTATGGTTTATTGTCAGCTGATTTGCTTTCACTATATTGTGAACCAATTTTAAAAAAAAGCTATTAAGATGCAGAAGCATCTTAATAAAAGAAATCTAAAGAAACAGAAACATCAGGAAACTAATTATTTTGGATATGAGGCTAGCATTTGTGGTTTCCAGTGACATATGGCATTTTCATTGGTAACAGGTGATCGTCTTTTTTTTAGACAAGGACATTTTTCAGCAGTAGGTGGGAAAAAAGATGAATTATTATGACTATTTGCAGGCTGGTTCTGCCACCTTCAGAGCTTGTTTCTTAAGAAGTAAAAAGAACTTTTATTAATATTACAAAGAAGACAACTTGCAAGATCCTAATAAGAATTCCTGACCAAAATGTTCGGTACACATATTTACAAAGTTCTATTGTAAAGATGTCACCATGGGCAAACCAGGGGATAAAGCAACCAGGGATAAGTGGGGGGAAATAAGTAAGGGATTATTTCCAATTTTGCAATTTTAAACACAAGGTTCAATTTTTTTTTCCAAAAGAAAATGTAACATCATTTTTCTTCCTTGCACATTTACATATTCTTGTCAAGCTTGTCAAGTCAATGTGGCTGACAGTCAGAAACCTTGTGCCACTAGTTTCTTTGGTCTTTACATATGACAAGCGGGAGGATAATCATCAAGACACTCAACACTGTTACTCAACCTTACTAAAAATGTGCCTGGGTATGGACCACTACATACATGAGTCCTATTTTTTCTTGTTGATCAAGATAGATAAATAAATAAATGTGTCATGTTTCATACTTCTCAGGATTGGGTCAACTCGTTGTTAGTTCAGCATTTGGACTCTCACAGTACAATTTCTTGCTGTATCTTGAGAAATTACACTTACATATGTATTTTTCAGGAGAAAGAAAAAAGGATAAATGTTTAAAGCTACCTGAACACCTGACTCCCTGAGCGATGAGCCCCCACATAAAGTTGGCACAGTATTCACACCAGTGAGGACCTCGGAATGTGTGGACCTGTAATACAAATGGAAAAAAGGGGTCAGGAGGAGGCAGATGGCCTGACAGATGGAACAAGTAAAAGAGATAAACAACAAAGGATTCAACAGAAGTAGGTCTTCAGCAAGCAGTGCCTGCTTCTATCCACAGTCTGTGTTAAATAAACCCTGGGAAAATAAACTTCCTTTGATCTTGAAGTTTCTTTTCAATATGCCTATCACAACATAAAACTGAAGGCTATATGGCACAAAAGTGAAATGACTTTTTTGCTAGTTGATGTGTCTGTGCAACCTTCAGAAGAATGCAAGTGGCTTTTAAAAAGAAAAAAAATAAAGCTAACAACCCAAAGATTTTTAAATCAGTCATTTTAGTGGAGTATCTAAAAGAAAAAAGAAGCTTTTGAGATTCATACTTCATAGCAGGTCATTTAAAGGAGATGGAACTTCTGTGGCAGAAAATCTCTGCTGTTATGCTGTGGCTAAATGCTGCTTTTTGATGCATCTATCCAGCTCCCATTGATTTCTCTTGGACTTCTCTGCGGTAGAGGCCAAAATTTGGCCCCCTGTTTAAGTCAAAGTTCTACCACTTTGAACTCTACAGAGGTCTTATTAGCACAATGTAATTGCAGCCTTACCTGGCTTTTATACATTTTTTTTGTTCAAAAAAGGATCACAGAACAAAAGTCAATGGGATTACTGTATACTTGAATCAAAAGGAATAATGAATGATTTATGTATACACTCCAGGCAACTGTTGGGCAGCAATCCTAGTATTTTGTGCCTCTGAATCCATTGCAAACACAGGCAAACTACTCCCCATCCTTCTAAATAAGTAAATTAATCTCACACAGGCACTAAACATTAAAACAGATCCTTATTCAATGAAATCACAGTCAATCTCATTTTACTACAGCCCACATATTAGTAAAATGGTGGTGGGGAGAGAAATGGTATGAAAAGTGCTGACAGAACATAGTTTCCTCAGTTGCCCTTTGCACAAAACACTTGTGTCACCAAATACACGTTAAAAACCTGTAATGGAGGATCCTTTTATATTATGCAAAATCATTACTGAGTCTTTTAGTGTCATGTATAACTGTCTGGTAAAGCATTCACATAATCTTCATTGAAAAAAAGAGTTAGCAGAAGAGTATATTCCTGTGGAAATGGACACAGCATGAGCTACATCTGCCTAAAGATGTAGTTACCTTTAACAAAACATAAAATATAAACATTTAGTCTGCAAATGCTTCCTTTTCTGTTGACCATATCCTTTTTAAATTCTTGTTTATTGCTTATTATTTCAAATTTTAACAAAGTAGGCTTACGTAGGAAAAACACAGTCATTGCCCTTTTGCAAATAAAAAACATGTAAAGTTTAACATCAAGCATTCAACTAGTTTATATCTTTGCCCTATCAAGTCTGTGGCTCTGCTCACAACAGTGCATTTTGCACTAGTGTATTGCATGAAGAAAACATGACTTTTGTGTTCAACGGTTTACTGTGCTCTTATGAACCAGGACTTTCTATTTAAAAATAATTACAAGACAAAATTACTAAAAAAAAAATATAATATACATTCAAGATCTTATCAAAAGCCTTGATCAGTTTAATCCAGACTACTGGCTTTTCTGGTGTTGCACCCAGGAAGAACGTGGATTCCAGTTTAGATGTAACATCTATGGACTTCCTCAGATATGTCTATGTTTTCTTGGAAAAGATGTAGGTATTAATAAATCAAACTAATGTTTTTTCTCTCTTCCCTTGTTTCACTTTACTCATTTTTCTAAATGGGTGTCTATATTGATAGATTATATTATCTGGGAAAATGAAGTAATAATACAAACCTATCTCTTTAGTTTAATTATACAAAATACATTTTTACTTAGAATAGCTTGAAAACAAAGTGCTCCTGACTAATTACCCATGTAGTCAATAATTATGTGAGTAATTGCAGCTGTAAAGCAATCTCTGTTCAGCTTAAAGCAATTGGTACTAAAATAGTTCAAATTATTTTTCTGAAATGTGTGTGCTAGTTTTCAATAAAACATATGGGAAACAACACTCTCTATTAAGCCTTCTTTCAGTTTACTTCTTACGCTTACTGATTTCATATCTTGTCTCATGTGGGTCAATCAGCATACATGTCAGACTAGCTCCTTAGCTTGTGTAAATAACATCAATTTACATTAGGTGAGGATCTGGCACTTTTGAGTATGGCCTCTGATATAATGCTGTTAGTTACAAAATTTGCAGACACAGTTAATTATGGCTACATTGTTCCCAATGTTAGACTGGTAATGACATAATTTGTGTGTCTGCATTTAATTGCAGGTGCAAAATTGTCTTGCTAAGGAATATCATTACCCAGATACATAATGGATTCTAAGTGGTTTACAAAAACTAACCTTTTATGAAAGAAGATTTGAAAAGTTTATTCTGCATTATTAAAATACCTAGTTTCACATTCTGACTACATATCAGTTGCTAGGCTATTTGTGGCTCACTTGGTTACTTTACATAAAGCTTAATTTAGCTGATCTCACTGAAGACTTTAGAAAATGGTATCTGATTATCTCCCAGTCTTTTCTTTCACTAAGAGGAAACCAGTTGTCATTATTCATTGAGGGCCAAGTATTGAGCACCATGACTGAGCATCCTTAACTCCTACCCTCACCTTTGAGTTCAGTTAAATTTAGGTATTTAATTTTATTCTATATTTTGGGTGAAGTTACAGATACTAGAATGCAAAACCATGCAAAAGGCTGGTCCTTCAGCCTTTACAGTCCAGCAGAAACAGGGAAATATTAATTATCTCACAAGTAAAATGGCTGATCTCTCTTGAGATTTCTAGATGAAAGTATCATGACTGTAACATCACTCCAACCCTACCACAAAGTCCTTTAAGAAATATATCTGAACTGAGCGTTTAGTGTTTGTCCTACTGTTAATTGTAAAAACTACAATAAAAAAGAAGCGTCTGTATTCCTAGAATAACACTTCATCACACTCCTACAGTTTTAAGGCTGATGCTGGAAGCAAAATTGCTTTCATGGTAAATAGGAGTCTTGTCTGTTTGGACTGCAGGCCTGGTCCTAGTGCTCCTTTATACTGGAATCAGTGGTCATTTTAGCATTTTAGGATGGGGTGGAATTTTTCATGTTGCATCAAAAGTTTTATGATCACATCCCGTTGCGTGGGACTGCTCTTAGGCTCTTGGAAGAATAATCAAGATAATTTCTGAGACCTCTTCCATTACATTTTTGGATTTTCATCTATGCATAATGGGTAAGGAAGTATGCCTAGACCCCTTGAGCTGGGGTCTGCATACTTCAAACCTGTAGAAAATGTTATGAGAGACAAGTTTTCAATGTAGGCAGGATCTGATATACATTTTAGTAAAATAGGCTATTTGCCTAGTCTTTTCCCACTGCTATTTAGCTATAGAATGCAGAGGACTCAGGTAGGAGGCAGTACAATAAAATAACATAAAATTCAACATAATGTACTGGCATAAAAACTGTACTTTCCTGCTTATTCCCATCTTTTTTAATCAGCTTCCCCTTCTCCAGGTTTCTGACTCATTCTATCAAATTCAATGCCATTTCCATTAATTTTCTCCTCTGTCTAAATCTTTCAGTGAAAAGTAGTCTCTCTTTCATATTCATACCGTCTTTTTTTATTACTAACCTTTGAGCTTTTACACATATTAATTACACCGGCTTCATGGTTTTCTTCTGTTTTTGTCCCCTTCACTTGCACACGCCTTTGCTTCCAAATAGTATCATCAAGATGTATTCTCTCACTATCTAAAATTAGCACGTGTATAGTGCCTTGTTGTAACTCCATGATTAGATGAGGATTATTCCTGTTTCACAGATGGGGTAACTAAGCCAGAAAACTTAAGTGATTTCATCCAAGTTATTGAAACAATCTTTTAACAGTAATACTACAGAAAGAAATAAGAACTGTCCTAGAAAGAAATATGTGCTCTTCATATGTGCTTTCAGGCATTTTTTTGGTTATCTAAGTGGTTTCTTTCTTTTGTATCCAGAGGAAATTAAAGATGTTTATACTTTCACTTGAAAGCAGGACCATTTTATACCAGATCGGGGACTTGGCAGAGTTCTCTTTGACCTCAGGGAGAGCTGAATTGACTTCACAATTAATTTTCTCTTGGCACAATGAAAATGCTACTTCTCATATGTATTTTTTTTCCATGAAACTGCTTTTTAAAAAGTCAGTAAGTGAATACTTGTCATCGGTTAACCCAAAATTCTCTTTATATTTTATACTAATAAAAATAACTGACATTATTTCCATCTATATCCAATGTGCCAAATTTTGCATTGAAATGGGTTTTGAGCCCATCAACAGCTTTTTTTTTTTTTTAAATACACGGTACATCCTCTTTAGTCCCAGTGAGGTCCCCAAGGTTCTATGCTGCTGCAGGGTCATTTAATACCATTCTCAACATAGAAGCAGGGCTCTGTGCTACATCACCGAAATCTATGGTAATGGGAAATTTAAAAATTGGAAAAGTAATAGTAGTAACAATAACAAGAAGTAGTAGTAGCAGTAGTAGTAACAACAGGGACAAATTTCGGCCCACAGTCAATCCCTGTCATCAGAAGGCCTTGCTTTGCAAAAGATAACTTTAACATATGATATTGATATATATTTGCTGTGATTTGATTAGCCAAGACCATGTCATAATGGACAAAGAGTAAATACTTTTCAGTTGTGTTATCTCATTTGAGTTCATTCAACAAAATGTGAAGTCCTCCTAGGACTCAGAGGCTACAGTACAGAGAGCTAAAACACTCAAAAAGGTACTAACCCATACCTTAGGCTCTGATCGTACAAATACGTGCATAGCTACGTAAAGTGTTGTTGATTTAATAGGACTACACTGGTAGTAAAGTTAATCATGTCCATAGGCATTTCTAGGACTAGTATCTCAATGTGAGTCAAGTGGTGTTAAAGGTAGCACAACTTTAATGTAATCCAGGAATGCA